GGAAAAATACTAAAATTGACCGCCCTTTATTGTCTGGTTTTGTTGCTCCATTAAGTTATTTTAATAAAAGTTGATAAATGTGTAGTTGAAAAGTTATAAATCTCATAAAATATATGATTAAAATTATTCTTCACTTTAATTTAGATTTTAATCCCTATCAAATAGGGACTAAACTATTTTTACCTTTTGCCATCTGTAAAAAGTCAACTCCGAAGTAGAATTAATTTTTTGTAAGAAAAAGTGTAAATTATCCAAATATATTTGAGACGAGAGGTTAGGTAAATTTACATTTTTCAAGCTTAGACAAACACAGTCTATAATGAATATAGGGATGGAGTGGAGAATGAGCACTCGAGTCAGTTTGTTAAGTGCCTGTAAACTTGCGAACAATTTATTCAAAATAAGTAATTTGCAACAATCCTCACTCCAAAAGAAAATGAAACAGCACTCATGCAGCCAAGAAAGACAACAAACAACATTGGCTAGAATCTTAATAAACACGAAACCACACAGATTACCATGCACACTAGTTCACCGTAACAACCTGCATGAATTCGACATCGTTTTCCATAGCTAGCAATGCGTCCGGGGTGAGTCGAATCTATGTCTACACTCCCTTCTTCTACACCAGGAAATGCCGTAAATTTTCCGTCAAATTTGTTCGCCAATCCATCTCTCACGACCACGGGTTTTCCCCATCCGAAGTCATTTACATACACGTTGAACTGTGGCGAGCTACCAACGACAAACGTATTAGTCCTTGCACCCTTCATCGACAATCGAGGGCATTTTAGCCAATTTTCATAGTTGTTCTTGGCTTCTTCAAGAGTTTTAGCAGCTATCATTTGGTTCAGTTGCTGGGCAGCCCAACCGAGTCCATTGCTCAGTAAGTCGTTTGGCGTCGCAGTTGCAGCACCTCCCTGAATAGCATTCCCGAAATAACTGTTGAGAAAGTCAAAGATCCTCACCATGATTCTTGTCAATATTATAGATTAGGAAACAAATATATTGTGATATATTACCTTCCGTCCTGGTAATATACCATCAATTAGTAGCATATTTATAGGAGTTAATTGAAAGGCTAAAGAGCTATATATATGTGTAAATTATGTAGAGATCATCATTGAATAAAAATATGATTCATTCTTCTAAATTTTACATGGTACCAGAGCCAGCCATGGGAGAAAATCTTGAACAAAACCTGGCTAATAACTCTGCTAGCCCTTTCTTCATTCATCATTCTGATCATCCGGGGATGATTCTTGTTTCCACTACACTTACAGGTGAAAATTATGGCACTTGGCATCATTCCATGTCAATTGCACTCAGCGCGAAGAACAAATTTGGGTTTGTTGATGGGAGCATCAAACAGCCACCCGCAGATAAGAAGCCCACATAATCTGCTCTTTGGCACCGGTGCAATGACATGATTATTATGTGGATCCTCAATACACTCTCTGGGGATCTCACCACCAGTGTGGTATATATGAAGATAGCCAAAGACGTTTGGAATGATCTTCGAGAACGTTTTTCCCAACAAAACGTGTCTCGCCTCTTTGAAATTCAATGTGATCTTGCACGCCTTAGACAAAACCAACAGCCCATCAATGTGTACTTTACCAAACTTAAGAGTGTGTGGGATGAGACGGATTCTTACCAAACTGTCACACCGTGTTCTTGCGGTGCTATGAAGTCCAACCATGAACAAACTGAGAGAAACAAGGTGCTGCAGATTTTAACGTGATTAGATAATTCTTATTCTGTTATTCGCGGACAAATATTGTTGATTCTGTCACGACCCGTCCCAAGTC